TTGGTTCATTCTTAGAGTTTTGCAGGAAAGCAAAAACACTAATTGTTTTGTGCATTAATAACCAATTTACAGACAAAGACTCTTTCTGAAAACTGATTTTGGAAATATGATAATTTAGCCATTTAGTGAGATTCTTCGAACACCTATCAAAAACACATGAAGCTGCACTTGCCTCTAAGCAAGTCAAAATCAACTGCAAGGTGCAGCCCCAACTGTCTGACATCAAGCAGCTCAGTGTTTCAGATCACCCTACCTGGTGAAGCAATATAGTTTTTACATTGCACTGTAAAGCACTGATGCTATATAACAGCAACCTGGATACGGGACGTCTAAGTCAATGCACAGGCCGACTTCTTTAAATAGAAAACGTACGCAGATCAGTCTAATGTTTCATTTTAAATCACAAAGAGCATGAAGCATCTTCAGCCACAGATAATACAGAAGGAAGGGGGGCTGGCAGACACAGCATTAGACAGTCTCTTTATTAATAAATAAAACAGAAGACCTTCTGCAAACTGTGTGAACCTAATGCAATAGTGGCATTGCGAAATCAGGTAGTACTGCTGATGAAATAATAACTCACAATAAATTTGACAGAGATAAATATGATAATTTTGTAACCACTAATCTTATATTCTGTTACTGAAGCACACAAGACAAACTTTATTTCACTTTGAAAGATACTCCATATGCAAAGTAACCCATTTCTTTGATACATTACACACTCATGAAAAAAATAGTAAAAAAAATTCTAAGGTAAAGTACACTTTAGCTTCTACTTCTTCTATCAGGTAGAAAAATAAGTGTTAAGGGTGCTTTAGAATTGACAGTGCAACAGGCAGTTCAGTGTACCTGTATGTTGCTACTTCGAGACCTAGAGACATTTTCAGCTGCGTCAGGCCTCGGTTCTCCATTATGATATGATCGATCTGTTGACCAAGCTCATGCTTCTCCACCTCTAAGGACTCCAAGTGCTCCTGCCAAAACAGGAAGCAGAAGAGGAAAAGGAAGAGGTTAAAAAAAGCATTGGAAAAGAATTCAGTGTTGTGCTATATTAAGGAGGAATAAATCTCTTTGTTCTTTTGCTTGTTATATGTGGTGGGTTGTTTACAGGCTTTTATTATTACTGCATCTAAGTTATTCAACCTGTTTTACTTATCACACTAGCATGCTTTTAGATTTACACACTGTTACAAGCAATATAACTGCCTGCTAGTGATCTGGGACCTCAGTGGGAGAAAAAGAAATGCCATAAAAAGTATTTAGTGTGGGTGCTTCACCCCTCAGACCTAACTGTGACCCAGAACTAATCCCATCAACCCCAGCCTATAAATATGTAGCCCCCAGTTGCTTTCATAACCAAATGTGTTCATTTCATCAGCATATAAAATGTGGATGCCAAGGGAGCAAAATCCCTTGGGGGGGGAGAGGACTCATAAATGCTTCCAAAAGCCTTTAGTGGAGCTTCTTGCGTATTTTGCTGGAGGCCTTGAATATTTCCAGGAAAATCTACATTCAAATAAAATGTATCTAGTATTCTTGTTCTTTTTACTGAGTATTTGATCTCTTAGGACATGGCTAGTCAAATGTAGTGACAGTAGATATCCACAGACTCTATTTTGTCCAGCTGTCACGAGTCACATGTTCAAATTCCACTGTGGTTTGTCCATTTGTTATCTTAGACTGTGACATTAACCACAATGACTTATTGCATATTTCACAACCAACACCCAATGATTTTGTTGGCATTCTTTTCCAACCAGTCAGAAGTTGCCTAATGTGTGAATATGCGGAACAATTTTCAGTTTCAAAGGGTAATAATTGGATTGAATATCATGTACATTCAACTATTGCAACTGTTGTAATAACTGTTGCATCCCAACATGTATGGATTGTTTCTCTCACCTGGAGCTGCTGCATCTCTTGGCTGTATTTGTCTGTCTGCTGGGCAACAGTTTTCTCCAGATGCTGTCTGATTTCCTGAGCTGAGATGATCTCCTTCTCCAGGGCTTGGAGCTTCAGCTGGCTCTCACGTTTCTCCTGGCCCACTTGGGTCAAACGGCTCCTGGCCTGGTTAAGTGACTCCTCTAACCGAGTCAGCTGGTCCTGATAAGCCTCTGCTGCCTCCTGCCATGCTCTGGTGGCACTCTGAGAGTATTCATGCCCCAGCTGAAGGAGATTCGGTGTATGGTTGCCCTTTTGAGAAAATGTGTAAGATAATGTAGCTCTAGAATGGGTCAGTGTGGCTTCCAGGTGGGCTACATCCTCCCCATGTGTTTGGATCAGGAGTCTCATCTCATGCTCCAGCTGGTTGACCTTCTCTCTAAGCCAAATCTGTGCCCTCTGTTCCTCCTCCAACTCCTTCCTGCTTTGCTCCAGCTTTGTCTTGGCCTTCACTTTTTCTTCAGCCTCCCTCTGTCTCCACAAGTCCAGCGCTTGAAGTTCCTCAGTCAACTTGCCAACTTCCAACTCTGTGAGGACCCTATCTCTCCAGACTGCATCTACTTCCAGTCTTGCCTGCCGCAACTCTTCCTCCAGGCCTCTTCTGCGTGTCAAAGCACCTTGATTATTGTGTCTCATAGCTTGTATCTCCTTTGCAAGCAGCATGTTTTCCTCCTCTAGGAGTTTAACTCGGTTCAGGTAGGTCCCGAGTCGTCGATTTAGGTTCAGCATCTGCTGCTTCTCCTCACCCAGGTGGTTGGTGTGGGTGGTCCTTTGTAAACTGTGGAGCTCCATGTCAGTGTTAAAAATAAGAGATATGAAAAACTGAAGCCTCACTCAAAGGTATGCTGATTAGAAATTGGCAACTGCCTATATCCCTGTATCCAGGCCTGAGACAGCGTGAGAGTGAGGCTTCTGGGAGACCCCTGAAATGTGACTGTCTGCAAGAGGGTTTCCTTTCATACTAGGCTTAATGAAGGGGCCGGGCACATGGACAAAAGGGGAGGGGGGTGGAGAGGGAGGAGACTCAAGGCTGGAAAGGGAGAGGAGGGGAGAGGAGAGGAGAGGAAGATGGATGGAGTGACTAAGTGGGATGAAGGAAAGCAGATATGAAATGAGATAGAGGGTTGGAGTAGCAGGGGTGGATATAGCAGTGAAAGGGCAGAGAGAGAAGCAGTGATCTAATTTATAAAATTAACTCTTTCACCACTGGCACTTTTTTCTAGCTGAATTTGAGCTGAGCCATGGAACCTTCCATACTTCCCTCTCCTCTGTATCCCACTTTATTAGGAATTTAAACCTTTAAAGGACTCAGTGTCAATACGTTTTTAGTTTAGACTTCACAGTATTAAGCAGACTGAAACAAGTGATCTTGAAAACCCTAACCAACAGTTAATACACATTTTTCTTTAAATAAATCTGACTAAATTCACAGTGACGTATATGAATCGTTAACCCTGATAATGCAAAAATAATATGAGCTTATGAAATCCATAACCTTAT